AAGACTGCCGAGCATTATACTCACGAACCATTTCGGTCACGTCAGGAGACCGGCCTTTGAGCGAGCCTCTTTCTGACAGCCCAAAGAACAGCACGTTGTAAATGCCTTCTTAAGTAGTATCTTTCTTCTCATTTATTTTCAGCGCCCTTATACACTCAAGTGCATTTTGTGAAAACATGTACAAAAATAATTTTTACTTACGATCATTTGGCAGTAAATTACGTCTTCTTCAAATTTTATACTTAAAGAAAGTGCATTATTCGATTTTCAGAATGTTTCAATTTATAAGATTTGTTGAAACCAGTCCATTCAATAATGCTGCTTGGAAAGTATACAATATGGTCCATATCCACTGCGAAATTTCACGAGCCCTATATGACGAATTCTTAATAGCATATATAAATGTGTGACTTCCCCTACAGGGAAGATATACAGCTTGTGTTTTGGATACCCTCAATACAGTTGCAGTGGTAGATCAGGCCCAAAATTATCTATTTGAGATTTCTTCCAACCGAAAGATATAATTTTTTTCAAGTGCAAAATTGGAAGACGTAATTTGCTACCAACTGGGCACAAAAAATTACTTTTGCGGGCGTTTTCTGCAAAATATGCTCGAATTCTTAAAAAACATCGGAAATCACTGAGCAAGATTTATGCTACCTAAGTAGCCAATTTTTATAAATTATGATTTTGCTAGCGGTCGGGAGGAAGCTCGTTCAAAGACCGGCATCCCTACGCCACTGAAATATTTTGTGACCCTGCTGCGAGACAGTTAGCTTTACGACTACTTAAGGGATCTTGCCAAGGGTGTGGTGTGTAACCTCTTGGGAAAACCGTAGTTACCTATGACCCTAACGTCAACCATGACCATTGTTGTAATGAGTTACCATAACCCTTAATCCACAAGCATTTAAGGAAAACTCGAACGTAACGCAACACTGATCCTAGGTCTTAAATCCCTAATCCAAACCATAGGATTTAGCCCAAACCAATGACCAGAATTCTTTTCCCCAACCCTAGCCTCAGCCGCAAATGCAGACTATAACCCAGGCCTGACGACCTAGGAATAACTCAATTAATACCAACCCTGACTCCAACCGTATCCGTAACCCCAATCTGAAGCCCAGTCCAGGCAAATTTAACATCAGTCCACGTATTGCAGAACCCCTTCGCTGACCTTTTGTCGGGCAAACAATGATGATCCGCGAAATAACGCTGCCGGCAAAGACAAGGAAGACTAGGATGCCCATTTCGGGCCTTTTAGCCGTCGTCAGCCAGCCATACCCAACCCCGAAGTCTGGAACACCTGACGTTCGATCCCTTGACCTGTTGGTTAGAGGTCCAAAGCCCCTAGCCACGGGTGCATTGTCCTGTCGGTTGCTATAGGGTATATACAATGGTAGATGGACGCTCACCGATCACGTTACGGAATTCGCTCTTCCCGTTGTGCCTCGGCGACAGAATACATCAACCTAGACGAGGGTAAACTTTTGGAAACCTGCCCAGGGGGCTACGCACCCTATCCTCGCCGTGATATTTTCTAGTAGACACCTCTCAGAATCTCGGACAGCATTTCATGAGGTATTATAGCTACCGTAGATAGTCACTTTTCCCCATGTTTGATTTTTGTAGGCGACCTGAAAGAAGCGCACTTAAGTCAGCACCCTGGCGTGGTTGGAATACGCTAACACTATGCTGCACGATAATCAGTATCCCGTCATCTAAGGTTACTGCATGCATAGGGTAGACAAACTACCAAACTAACGCATTTTTGAACTGGCGTTCTCAGTCAAATTCGACGTCACTAAGACGGCCAGTGGGTCGGTAAAGCATTTCAGCCAGTGGTTACCTGGCGCTATGCAACCGTCTGTGACGAAAAACAAAAGCATTCATTCCCACCCTGCAATGAGACAGCCAGACACCACTGTCACGCAACCGCACAGTCACGCTCCCGTTTTCTCAATCCTTCACCCCACATTACGCCTCCATTTCTTTTAGCTAGCGAATACTTCCACCTCACATATTTGGCGGATTCAAACAACCCCCCTTCTCATGCAGAACCGAGCCCCGAAACGGGACTGCAGTGCTTATCTACTGCAGCCACGAACTAGCCAGCCAGGAGCTCGGGATCTTGTGCCCCCATTCAATGATCACCATAAATGATGATTGGAGCCAAGGGCTTCAGTTTCCGAGAATCTAAAATCGGCCCTAGTCCCTGAACCTGACGGAAAGCAACCCCATCCGCTAACAATACATGACAGATGTTACTCGCATTCAGTTCCATCACGCAAAACGGAACAGTAAAATGAATATTTTGCATACCAGTTGGGCTTTCGTGAAAAATCTGCTGTCTGTTCCCAATCCCTTATACTACAAGATGACGCAAACACCTCAGATCACATAGAAATGAGCTGATATAACGTGACGGCACTCGGAGACTCAGTCACATACTGCGTACGTTACTCAAGCCTGTGAAGGAAATCAGTCGCCGATCGTTTGACGCACCACGGAAAGCAGGAACATGGCCAACGGAGGCATCCCCCACACAATCACCTGACTTTAAACAAACCGGAGGCAATTTCTATTTTGCGGACATATTGCACCACCTGTTCTTACAGAACAATTTGAGAAAGTTCTGGCCGGTGAATCGGAAAAGAGCGCCAGAAGATGGAGACGGCACATTTAAACAAACCTTCAAACTACGCTCCGTTCAACAGTCACCCAACAGAACAGGAATAAGGCCGGCTTGCAGACTAGTACAAATATACAGTATTCAGATCTGTACAGTGGTCAGACGTCAATACTGCCAGTGATCATGGCTAATTGGTGGGACTCCCAGGGAGGGAAGTAGAGGATGGTCACGCTGCAGGCGTCGGCTGCGGCGGGGTCAGCGGTGCCCGCAGTCAGAGACTCCCCGACAGCATTGGTGGCCGCAGCCGGCTGGACCTCAGCTGCGGAGAGCAGTTCCCGCACAAACCAGGGGAAGGTGGGTGGGCCGTAGAAAATGAAGTTACGAGCGCCTCGAAGTTTCCGTCTAGAAGAAAAAGGAAACGGCCGTGAAAAGAAGAGCAAGGAGGCTTAAGGAACATTAGGACGTCGCACTAGTTCGCTATCTAGGCAAGGACAGACACAGTCACACATCAGGCATTGCCGTTGAAAACACGCACATACCGACAGTTCGACCGTCGTTGCCGACGAAGTCCACCGCGTGCTCCCATCAATCTAAGCATTTAATCGACTACCAGAGTCCAATAAAACAGACTCTGAGCCCTTCGGGAACACTGCGGTTCCAATTTTCCGACGACTATTGGTAGATTCTACTAGTCATACACACAGCGAGCAATTACAGTAGGTGGACTAACTCATGAAATGTCGACCGAAATTCCGCAATGCGTTCTCGTTTCGAAAAGATTAATTAAGAAGGGTTGTAAAACTAATCATCGTCCAACATAATTCTATAATGATCCAGCTACCTCAGGGTGCCTTCTTTCGAACGAACTTATTTCCGACTGCATACAAGAACCATACTCTGCAAAAAATGACTGCTTATGTAGCATGCATTTTCATCACTGATTTTCGATGCCCTTGAAAATTCAATTATATTCCATGGAAAAAATGCATAAAATATTCATTTTTTGCTTATTCGGTAGAAAATCACGTCTTCTTTCAATTTTATGGTCGAGGAAGGAGTATAATTTGGTTTCAAAAAGTCTCTAATTGTGGGATTTTTTAATACCATGAGATGGCCGTCCATAAAACGTCATGTATCTGCATCTACCAATGTGGCTTGTAAAAGTAACAATATCGCTCAAATCCACTGCTTGATTTTGTTAACCCATATGGTCTCCTCTTAATACCGTAGAGAAATGTATGGTTTTCCGTACACGGAAAATATGCGGCTTGTGGTTTGAAAACCCTGAATGCAAGTATAACAGCAGGTCGGGTTCAAAATTATTTGGGAATTGGAAAAGTTTTAAAAACCGAATTGTACCCTTCCTTCAAGTATAAAATTGAAAGAAGACGTGATTTTCTACCGAATAAGTAAAAAATGAATATTTTTATGCATGTTTTCCATGGAATATAATTGAATTTTCAAGGGCATCGAAAATCAATGAGAAAATTGTATGCTACTTAAATAGTCATTTTTTGCAGAGTATAGTTCTTGCATGCAGTCGGAAATAAGTTCGTTCGAAAGAAGGCACCCTAAGGTAGCTGGAGCATTATAGAATTATGTTGGACGGTGATTAGTTTTAAAACCCTTCTTAATTAATCTTTTCGAAACAAGAACGCATTTCGAAATTTCGGTGAACATTTTACGAGTTAGCACACCTACTGCATGTTCACATACTTTTTGCCATTTTTGACTACTACTTTTATAATACAACTATCCACTTTGAGTACTTTCCCGTTCGCATGGCTACATCAGCGAACCGTTCGGGAACGTTCGCTTACACATTTTCATCCCATTTTCCAAATCTGCTTCTCCTCTTGTGTTTGACGAAACGACAGGTGAATGGCCAGTTAAGAACCACTGGAGAGCTACTGGCAGGTGAATTCGATGTTTCAAAAGAATAAGTCTCCGCAATTCATCCATTTGCCCACTACCGAAGGCGGTAGGGGCAGTCCTAAAGACAAGATGGTTGGGGAAGGGAGACCTCCAAAACGTGCCAATCCAATAGAAGAAAAGAGACGAGTCCCAGAAAGCAGTCGTGAAGATGGAGACACGATCGCCGAGACAAGAGTTTTATTAGCCTGACGTTTCGGGTTCCTGCTCGAACCCATCATCAGAGACATCATCACCCGTGTCGGCGTTCGAGCAGGAGCCCGAAACATCAGCCTAATAAAGCTCTTGTCCCAGCGATCGTGTCTCCTCCTTCACGTGCGACAAATTGGCGATTTCCTGACAGTTTGAATCGTAGGAGGTGGCAAACCTACCTTCGGAAGAAGTAATACCTCTCGCTGATAAGCATGATCCGGATCCGACCCTGATCGAACAAGTTTCGGTAACGCTCAGCCTCATTGTCGGGAAGGTACCTGAAAAGGAAAAGACAGGAAGTCACTAGCTGAGGCCGGTCAAAAAGATTACTAAGCAGTCAGAGGCGAATAGTTGCGCAAACTGCGTAGGGCGGCGGGAGGGGGTGCTAAACTCACTCGTGAACATGACAGAAGGAAAGAGACTCCTCACGCAGAAGGTTCCTCAGTTCCTCTAGATCAAAGTAATCTGGCACGTAGATGAGTACTCGCTGATCGATACCCCTGCGTAGGCGGGGTAGGAGACGCTGTTTGAAGGCTGAAAGACGCGCCTGGGGCACGACGCGACCGCCTAAAAAGACAGGTGTTTGGTGCTTACCAGTACATTCAGTGAGGGAAAGTGAAGTGCAGTGAAGGAATTCTCCAACTACAAAATACACCTGCGTGCGCATGAATTCCTTGGTTGATACGACTAAGCTCAAAACAAATCAGTATGCGCTGAAGTAGTTGGCCAACTGGTTATGTCTCAAACGGGAACGCCCACCGCGTGCTCCACAGAGTGGGCGCAGCTCAGGAGACTTGTAGGGTGAATTTATAGCTCAGTATATTTTAAGAGTAATAGGCAATGCCTTTGAAAACCCTATTGTAAACGGTACATTCAATAACTCACTATAAATAAACATGGTACTGAAAAGTTGTCAGTAATATACACATTTAACAGAATATTTTCCATGAAAATGTAGAACCAAAACTTGAGAACATTCAGTTGTAGATGATTTCAGTAAAATGTAATGACAGTCATCCGCATTAGCGGTATGAGTATGCAAGGCGTTGGTTTAGCACCACAGAGCTGTTCTGTTCAGACAAGCGATAGTGTCCAAGCAAATATGCATCGAGTCTTTGCTTGAACGTCTCCGTGGTATCCGCCATTATTACGTCCTCGGGAAGCCCGTTCCAGGCACCGACGACTCGCTGTGGGGCAGACTTGCTCGGTGTCTACTGCATTCTCTCTTCTGTCGCCCATCCTGTCCCAATGGTAGGACGAAGCCAATACGACCGGAATTTGGCGACGACGCAGGGGTTAGAAACAGCCGTCTACGTGTGCCACACACGAACTGGTTTCCACTACGGTAAAAGTGACTCGAATCTCATAAAGATCACACCGGGAGGGGACCATGACTCAAGGGGGGGGGGTCTTAAGGGGCCCAGGCACGTCAGAGTTACTACACAGTGTGGAATACGCTGATTTCCTGTACGGATGGATTTCCCAGCCACTATATCTTCCCAATCCCAGGCACCAGTCGATTGTGCAAGCCTGTCAGCCAACAGATGTATGGGGAGGACAGAAGACCATTGGTATTTCTCGTGAACGCTCAGCAGTCAAAAATTACAGAATATGGTACGGGGCGCTCACCGATCGTTCTTACGGAACTCACTCGTTCCGTTGTGCCTTACGGGCTCTCTCTTTCGAGCCCAACCAGCAGCAGCGCAGCCTCGGGTGTTGCACACTTTGGGGTTGGGTATGACTGACTGACGACGGCTGATAAGCCAGAAATGGTCATTCCAGTCTCCGTTGTACTTATCGGTAATAGCATACCGCCTATAGCATGCGCCGATGTGCCGCTGTTGGTTGGGCTCGAGAGAGAGCCAGTATGGCACAACGGAACGAGTGAGTTCCGTAAGAACGATCGGTGAGGGCTACTCTACCATTGTATATTCCCGACCAAAAACCGACATGGCAACGGGCACGTGGCCCAGTAGTTAGAGGCATGGGCTTCTAATAAACAGGTCGTGAGTTCGAGCCTTGGGTGTTCCACACTTCGGGGTTGGGTATGACTGGCAGACGATGGCTAATAGGCCAGAAATGGCCATTCCAGTCTCCCTTGTCTTTGTCGGTAATATGATCTTACTGAATATGTTGAAGTTGGCACCGCAATGGACACCAGGCCCCGAGGTCACGTGAACTGCATGAAGTCACCGTAGCCAACACGCATTGACAATTGAGACAGTGACGGCCCGGGAAATCCTAAGATATGAGCACCGCTGTCGAACCACTTGAAGAAGCAGTCATGCGGAATGTTGTCATAACAGGAAGGTAGTCCCGAGTCAGAAATGCATTCGACTGAAAAATCTCCGAAAAGAACAGAACACCCAAGTTGACCACCACGATGACAGTGGTTTCAAAATCGTGAAGACTCGGTCGTCCGACTGTCCGCCCAGATCGTTTGTGTGGGAGCGCCAGAACGATTGGCACCCTCCCAAGTCAGACTGTCGTCCGGAGACATCAAGGTGAACGTAGGGCAGTAGTCCACAAGACAATGAGAGAAGGCGAATAGAGGCCTGCCAGCATTGAACGAAGTCAGAAACGAGTACAGACCCACCGGAAGATCAAACGTTTATAGAATTTGCTGAAATAACTACCTGCACAAAATGCAGGGTTCTTGGAGGGATTAGATTGTGAACTCTTGCAAATACCGTGGAATTGAAAATAGGAGGGAAGGGGGGGGTTTGAAACCGGACACCAGGGAGATGCGTGAAGTGTGACAGCCCCTGGTTGTGTCATACGATTCTACCAGTCAAAACTTTGCCGATCCTTAACCGAGAACAATGACGCCCACCAAAAGTTATGCTCATTCATTGAGGCAAAACACGAACGACCTACAGAACCGCACTAGTCTCCCTCTACACTTCGCTGTAAACAACATGGTATTATACTGAAAAACTGGGGCCCTCAAGAGGGCGGCGCTATTGATGCGCTGGGTAAACACGTAGACCGAAGTAGCACACGTATGAATTAAATGAGCTTTGGAAAGTTCGCGCATGCAACGACAAATGTCACACACAGGGCGCGGTAGCACGCCTGGGTGCAGGCTCACACCGGGCTAGTCACTTGCACCAAATCACAGCATCGGATGGCTGACTGTGTCGGACAACAAGGTGGTGCACGGAAGGGGGAAGAGAGAGTGAGATTGACATTGCGAAGTTCCTTTCCACGGCACCTAAGGGCATTGGTCGCTATAAGAAACCCAAAGCGCCTCAAACCACCCCGACGCGTCAAAAGCCATGGCTCCAAAGGCTGCCAATCGACAGGGCAACTCGGTCCTCTCAGGACGAATTCAGGCTGCAATGGCTTCCCCTGAATGAGGCGACGTCGTGCGTGGCACGCGTAGACGGACTGCTCAGTTTATTGGCCACCTCCGGTCGTCGGGACTGTTTTGTCCCCAGACTTAAAAGAGTAAGGAGTGCGACAGACGTTACGTAAGACTGCCACGCTGTGGAGCACAGGGCAGGCATCATCGTTTGCGATAGTCGAAGTACCCTGCCAAGGAAACTACCCAGAGCGGAATCGTCACAGTGGCAGGTTTCAGCTTACTCTGCGGACATACAATAATCACGAAAGACGCCCCGACTAGGCAAAACTGTCGCAGACTTACTCTTCTCTGTGAGGTTGACTGACGGCAATGCCGATTTCAGCAGAAGTGTGTCCTGATAGGCAGCTGTTTGTTTTTTGCGTTTTTTCGGCGGCTCGAGGGCCTCCTCCTCAGCGACATCGCTGAGACCGCTATCCTCGTTGTCCTCATCGTCTGACTCCTTTTCGAACAACAGAAGGGGGTTGGAACCAGCCGAGCCGGACACCCCGAAGGTCAGGAGGGTTAGCTTGAAGTTGTCCAAGGCTGTCTTGGTCTCTTGCGGGGTGCTTGCAGTCGCACCATTAGTCAGTGGTATTGGAAGTTTGAGCCCGGGTACTCGATGGCTGTCCGGCAGGTAGCTGGGAAAAGCGCCCTGATAGAGGGGAGCTGACAGGAAGAGATTCAGTCCCTGGAAGTCTACAAGGTGTCAGAGCAGCGGCAAATTGGGGTTTATCACCGACACGCAAGCAGAAGTTTAGAAGTAATGTGCATGATGTCGGAATGACACCTTTATGGGTGAATGCCGAGTAATTCGGCTTAAGCAGCTCAGAAAAAAACAGAGTCCGCCAAGTCGGAAGAAAACTGCAGACCATCAGATAAAATCAGCGCCCAAAATCAAGGCAGAAATGTCGAAAGGGGAACCATTACGATATGGCGTTTGGACAAATATAGAAGTGCGGTGAAATGTAGAAGAGTTGAGTCAGGTAAGCAATGAGAGACTTTGGCAAAACACAAACACCCGACACGAGAGTGTGAAAGAGGGGAGGGAGAGTGAGAGAGAGAGAGAGAGGAATTCACTTTATTTTGGAATCAAACTCAAACGTTTCAGCAAAAAATAGGCTCCATTCACTATGGGAAGTAAACAAGTTAATAAATCATTCCAGAGTCAAAAAGTATAACACACAAGGAACGATTATTATGAGGGCAGTTCAAGTCTTAGCTTCTGTATTCCTATCTCTTCACACGCAAGATAGCACGCCAGGAATGGTAATACAGAAGCTCGAAAAGCCGATGTTCGACAGGACATAAGCCGGAAGCTGCGGCGCATCGAGAGGGAAGACTTCGCAGAAATAAGATCAGAATGCAAGGGATGGGCAACGTCATGTGAATGGATAGACAACGTGCGGCAAACTTCGACGAGCTGACTCCTACACAGAACGTTATTTGCCCAAGTTCCTATCCTAACAGATGGAATAAACAAGCCGGCAAGATTGCGGAAGGAGTTGGCTATACGACGTGGGTAATCACTTCTCGATGTCGTACTGCATAAACAATTTTCTAAGAGGAAAACTACTTAGGTGGGACTGAAATGATGTTATACACAGGACGCAGGCGTAATTCAACGCATCAGTGGCGCAAGTTTTCAGTAAAAAATGCTTGCACACCTCTTCTGAAAAGGATGAACGAATTCACCAGAGTACCGGAAAAGATCTGGAAATACGCACTTCTCATGCAGTGACTTTTCACAAACGAGAGTAACAAGTGTATCTGCAAAAATTATCAATCCAAACGCCGACTAAAGACTACTACAGCCACTTAAATAGCCCATCCAACTTGAGAGTGTATCTGAATATTTCGGCGAGAGCTCACTAGTTCCAGGGCGACCGGATACAAGCCTCCAAACAACAGAAGTGACGGGCAGTTTATTTAGAAGGTCGAGTCCATTCTGGAGAAACCAAGAGAAAGGACTAACTGGTTCACCAAAAGGATTTTAAGGCAGAGTCCTGTCCGCACCTAGTAGAAAGACAACTACGGACCATCAGATAAAACAATTACCCGAAATTTAGGCAAAAATTTCGAAAGAAGAACCCACTATGATACCGGATCTGGACAAATGTAAGTAATAAGTAGGTAATAGGGAACTTCGCCAAGGACCAAACACCGTAAACAACGATCTGCGAGTGGATGGACAATGTGCGGTACATGTCGGCAAGCTGAACAATATTTTTTCAAGTTTTGATCTTAACAGATGAAATAAACAAGCTGGTAAGACTGTGTAACGAGTCAACCATACGATGGTCCCATTTTAGCACAGTGACAAGCGTAATTACCTTTTCGGTGTCGCACTACATGAATAACTTGATGAGACTTTTAAATGTGCTTTCTGAGGAAAATTACTTAGTAATAAACACAGGACGTAGGCGTAAGTGAACGCACCTGTGGCGGTCACAGTCATGAGAAAATCACAGCTTAGGAGGGCAACGTTTTTCATCAAGGTTTGATGTCTCTATGACGCCAGCCATACGTCCTAGAACGGATGCAGGGATTTTTCATTCTTCGGACCCCGCTTGTAGCACACCAGGCCTTTTAAATTTGCGCTCCTTGCAAGGAGCAGGCGTTTTGAAAGTTCATGCCAAATGTCGTCTTGTCGCAATGCGTTTTCTGTCCCTAGCCCTGTAAATAGGGTCCCTCACGCTTAAAACATTTAAATATGGACTACGCTGAACACTTTAAGAGCCCCCTTAGCCAGCCTGCAGATAGTGGACGACGCGAGTGTTAATTGGTTTGAAGTGAATATCTTATATGCCCTACTGCTAAATTTTAGAACGCAATTTTCGATAGAATGACAGGATTGCTCACACACCTGGAAATTAACTAAATATAGAAAAACACCTAAAATATGCATCACTTATGTAGCGGCTTTTCACGAACGAGAGAAAGACATGTAGCTGCAAAAGTTATAGAGCCAAAGGCTGCCACAGCCACTTATGTAATCCATCCTAGTTAAGAGTCTCTTTAAAGATTTCGGCCAGAGCTCTCTAGTTCCAGCGACGACCGGATACAGGAGGTCTCTAAACAACAGAAGTGATAAGCACTTTATAAAGAAGGTTGAGTTCATTTTGGAGCAAATCTTAAGGGGAAGGAATAACTGGTTCACCGACAGGATTTCACGTCAGTGCGTTACTAAACGAAGTAAGTTATTGCAAGCAGTTCAAACCAGCGCAATTAATTGTACGACGAGGGCAGTGAATGCGTGCGTAGGCCATTTTTACAATTCAGTTTTCATTAACATGAAGGCTAAGTTTTGGCAGGACCTGTACTTGAACGGTCCCAGTCTCACAATCACTGTATTTGCGAAGGACAGTTGGTACTTCCGTTTTCTATCACAGTATCGTAACCTGACTGAACAGACGTTATCGAGTTTATGTGCATTTTTTCCAGAGTCAAGTACTAACAATAAGAATGCCGAGTCCGAGGAAACAGTCATGGGGTGTTCAAGTTTGGCCTGGAAAATGCAAGTCCGTATTGGTACTAACCTAATCCTTACAATGGAGCACTCGACAACCCAGAAAGTGGCTGAAGTTTACGGCTACGGATGTCCGAAATAAGCTTTGGTACTGCGCTGTTACTCATGAAAGGCCGGCGGTTACTTCTAAACGGCAGAAGCAAAGCGTGCAAGACAAGAAACCTAAGCGTAGCTGTGAGACACGCGGGCGAGTAACTTACTCTCACACTTGCTGGAAAGCGCAGAGATAAGGTGCGAATCCACGGCGGAGAAAAGGAGGGTTTGGCGGAATCGAGAGCCAAAACCTGCCAGATAGGCAAGACGGATGCGGGCGGGCGAAGTAATTGATGGCTTTGCAGGACGCTGGTTGAGACGAGCGACAATATCCTGTACGGCGGCCCAGTTCTGCATCAGTAGAAATTCCGCCTGATCGACAATTAGTAGCTCAATCGACGCGGTGACGTACTGCACATCCTGAGTCTTGTCTCTGAAACATAAAAAAGAATGCCATCACCGCGGGAACCCGAAAGCTTCTGGGTTTGGCACGAGCCACAGCGATATAATGGAAACTTCCAACTCTAGGATTTAAATGCCAAGCGCGGGATGAACGGCGTAGTGCCAAACCAAATTAGCAAAAAGGAAAGATGAGATGGGACAGAAAAATCAACATACTCAGTGTCATTGAACAGGGTTTCCAAGCCCAATGGAGAGGCCAGTATGATGTCAGAATCCGCAAAGGCCGAATACAACTTCACCGACTTCTTTGATACGGCAATTCCGATCCGAAACTTGTCATCAATATTTGCTATTTGCAGAAGAATTCAGAGTACGCACAAGTTAGCCAAAGTCAAAAGGGAACTATGGTGACGCAAATGAGTGTTGTTTAAGTCGAGAAGTTTCAGATAGTAAGGGATAATATTCAATGCTATTAGTCTGTTACCGATTGCTGACAAGAGCCAAAGGTTATTAAACGGCGCTTGCCTGGATGCTATGCATACTGACCGAAAGCTGAGGTCTTTTGACCCCACCTTAGATATTTACCAAGGTTACTATTCAAAACGCCTAGAGCCTTCAGATGTGCACATTAAGCCGACGCCACAATTAAAGCTCGGTCGGTGGAACACGCGGGTGCAGCGATTCTTACAGTGCAATATATATGATGAAGGCCAGCAAACTTAGACTAGCAGCGTGGAGGAGTGGATGAGGGAGTGCGTCAACACACCCAAAAGGAAACTGTAGGAATGATGAGAGACAGGAAAGACAAAGGGAAAATTACAGGAGAACCATTCTTCGTAGTCCGCGGGTTTTTTTCCCTTGCGCTTCTCTCGATCAGTCTGCCCTTCCTGAGGACCAAAGTCTCGTTCAAAGCGCTTCCTGTGGCTGACAGTGGAGCCCTTAGGCATCAGGCGAAGCATTTGATGTACAGTACGTCTGGCCGCCTCGCGAGTGGGCAGCAGAATGAGAACTCGAGCCCTGTGGAAGCCCTGATCACGCAGTGAACTAAAAGTGTCCAAATCGAACATGCGTCGACAAAAGAAAGGCTAACTCTGAGGAGAAAATCAGATATGAGGCATGAAAGCGATCCAATGAGATTTCTGAAGAATAATTTTTCATATGAAGTCGCCAAAGCCATACACTCACCTGACTGGTATTATGGGACGCAATCAAACCGGCGTGAACAGTTCCTTACCATAAATGTAAAATAGTCGAACGTAACCCAGAAAGAGCTTTAGCACAGCCATCCTCTCCCCTTTCCCCCAACGGAGTAGTCAGCGCCTAGAATTCTAGCTTTGCAAGCGTGCAGACATAGTTCACCATACATACAATGTGGTGGCCTACACGGAACGCTTTAAATTTTGGTTTGACTCATACCGCCCGTTTTTTGTCGACTAACCAACACAAGTGGGACCTGAAGGATCCGAATAAAATGTTTGGGGAGTTTCCACAATTAACGATATTGACTGTAATTTTAAGATATCAGAGACAGCGGCCTCCTGAGGTTGACGTCTGAACAGAGTCTGAGTCTACCTCAGACCTCTGGAGAGCGTAAGGGCACTATATGGTGGTGTGCAACAACCTGCCTGATGCTTAAAAACGTCCCAACGTACCAGGTAGTTTTATCCTGTAAGCATGGCGTCATACTCGGATGATCCGACTTCTGCACAAAGTGCAGAGCCAAAAATGAATAATAACCGGCCTCTGAATGCTTATATTACTGTTAAACCAGTTATTTTCAATTCCCAACCCGATGCCCCCGTCACTACTACGAAACCCTCCTAAACCATAATTCGAGAGTAGCAAAGAAGGGTGGATGAAGCAAAGGAGTATGCATGAGTAAACTGAGGTTGGCAAACGTTGACCAATAAAATATTAAACACTGCACTCTGATAGTCCGAAATAGACTTACTCATCCAGTCCAGATTTTTCCGCCCGGGCGTTATTCTTCATAACCAACTTTCTCGATCTGAATAGGGACACTGAAATCGCATGCAAGGACGTACTTTAAGGCGTGGTTAAGAGCATGGGCGCTGTAAAGCTCTCGAACTTTTTCCATTTTCGGGTGTCGTTGGTAGTAAAACACATCCTAAGACCTATGTCATCATAAAAGGTAGTTACCTCATAATTGTCTATGATTTGAAACAAATGCTTCAAAGTCGAGTCTAAAGATGGGGTAATTGGCTGCAACGTAAGGAATATTGCGGACTCTTACATTTGCGTTTGATAGCATAGGAAATTTTTTTCTATTGCTTGTTGATCTGTAACAACCTGCCACCGGATGCTGAGGAGGGGGTGAGCAGGTAGAAGAAAAATTACCATAAGTAGTTTACATTCGGCATTTGGCAGTTTATCAAATGTAAGGTAGTTGAAGGTAAAATGCCGCAAAAAGGCGGAACCTACAAGTTGGGAATGATAAACCAGCTAAACCTTCTAGTGGGACGTCAATCTCGTCATCGTCAATCATGCTGCATGCCGTGCTCACATAGGCTAAATAATACTGAACACTGTCCTGTGCTGGGTCAAACACGAAAAGTTGATCCTTGAGTAATTATTCAGGCTCCTCAGACCTAACTGTATTTATGGTGTTTTTTAAGAGATGAATTTTGGCAGAAGTTCTTGACTGTGGTGAATAGATTGAACTTGGAGAATCAACTCAAGATTACACCCTTGCGACGACACAGGTCTCTCTGGGGATCCGTGCACAACTCTAATTGGACAACGATGATGATCTTTGTCAGTAGCCTCAAAACTGTCAATCAGACCGATGAAGGTGAGGGTAGTACACGCCGAGGCAGCGAAGCACTATCAGTAAAGTCTGGGTAAGATCGATATGAACAAAGATAGCAGCGCTTCACAATACCCATTCATGCGAATGGATAGAAAAAGAAGTAGGCGAACACAAAGGGGTAGCGAGAAAAGGCTAAAATTAGAAATCTACTGCAAGAGCTAATTGCACAAACGGAATGAGTAACATCAAGGGTGACCATTTCTGTATGGAGAGGTGACACTGACATGCCTTCAGGGCACCGATGGTTCACTGGAAAATTTTATTACTAGATGGTTCGTGAAATTCCTTTGATTCCAGGCTCTTGAACCTGATTACTAATTTCTTTTTCGACCAGAATATCACCTTTCCGACCAGAATCAGAGAGGCTCAAAGGGCGAATTGTCTGGACCTCGTCCTTACAAAAGACCCACCTAGCACTAGCAAACTGAGGTCCATAGCACCGCTCAGTAAGAACGACCATGTCCTGCTGTTTTGGGAATACCGCCTATACAGCCAATAAACGGATAAGGTTAAGTACTGGCTGGAGTTCTGGCAAGGAAAATTGGCATGACGTTCTTATTGGACATCCGGGTGTTTATTGAAACAATTCCAGAGGAGTTATAAGCGACGTTTTGCACCAAAACTTTTCGACAAAGAGAGTCAAGAATGCTAATAATCCTGCCTGGATAACACGGGATATAAAGACAGAAGTAAACCAGAAATATAAACTATGGAGAAGGTGTGCAACAATGAAACAGTCATCTCATTATAAGCAGCTTCGCCAAAAGTGAAACGGGTTAAGGTCTAGTATCCGCAGGTCGTGGAAGGAGTATGAAACGCGAGTTATGGAACGGACCGTCGACAGGCCAAAAGTGCTCTTCAGTTACATAAACAGCTGGCTAAAGAATAAGGAGATGGTGTCTGTGTTGAAAAGAGAAAATAATGCGGATAATATCGAAAATGACGCTAAGGCAGAACATCTCAGCCGGTCTTTCGCATCCCTATTTACCGATGAAACGGACGTTGACGAGGCTGGATTGCCTAATGAAACAACTGACGAAATAATAGAAAACATCGACTTCACGGAAGAAGATGTGAGGAAGGGACTTCTAGCGCTCAAGGAGTGCAAGTCTCCGGGTCTAGATCAAACACTGACAAAAGATCTGTCGGAGGTGGCTTACGAGCTCCCTAGACCACTTTTGCATATTCCCCAGATTCATTTGTGCGAGTATTTTCAGCTCTGACCGGAAGGTGACGAATATATATATCCCGTCTGGAGTGTATGCCGCCCTATATGTCAGAACATCTTGCCATATGCACGTGACAAGCGAACAATCAAGGTCTTGAAGACCTGTTCAGACCTTATTTGTGCTAATTGGCCAACAATCAGCCCATGACATTCCCCCTGCTATATACCCAACCGTTTTCACAAGCCTCCTCACTTGTGCTGTCTCTTATACTCAGTACACGTCCTATTTCAAAAAGAAGACTAAATAAACTTATGCTTGATGGTCAAACATTTATATGATATCAATGACTGGTATAACTGCTATGTAAATATCCGCATGTTTTTTTCATACGTCTATCTGTAAATAGGGTTTTCCAAGGCTCTGCCTCTACCCCTCATATATACTGAATTATACTGTATTATTTCCAACTAAACTTCTGTTTTGCATATAGAACACCACCCACAAGTGCTCGCAATTATCGGCCGGTGAGACTAACATGCATTTGTCGCAACGTTATGGAAAGAATAGTCAAAAAAGCCATCGTCAAGTTCCTTGAAGGATAGGAGTCCTTTGATATTGTCCAACATGGCTTTCGATGAAACCAGTCCTGGTTAACCAGTATGCTGTATAAAGTGGAGCAGTGGTCCCGCTATTTAGACAAAGGCACAAGAAGCGATGTCATTTATATGGACTTCAAGAAATCCTTTGATAGTGCTCCACATCATCGGTTTTTAATTTATACCAACAAGCGTATGAATGGACTGGACTGCAATGGAATCATGTTTGCCGATGACACTAGGTTACGGCGAGCGATCAACGGGGAGAATGATGAACTGACGCTAAAAAGGACTTAGCCGTCTATCTAAATGGTCCGACAAGTGGCTGCTAAAGTTTGATCTTAAGAAGTGAGTCGCAGTGCGATTCAGAACGAAGGAGATAGCGGATGGAGAGAATCAGCAATAACCGCTTGACGACGATGCCTTTCAATTATGACCGAACAAAATGACCTTGGTATCAACATTTTGTCGTCTCTTGAGCCCTCCTCTCAATTCATTACGGTGGTCAAGGGGCAACTAATGTTCTCTTCGCCATCAGAAAGCTATTTTGAAAAGTATGCGGAGGGTTTACTTGTTCCCAACTGGAATATGGAATCTAAACGCCGCGCCCATGGCTGAAAAAGACTGTAAATTGATGGAACGAGTTCAGAGGTGGGCCACCAAAATTGCAATAGGCCCCAGGACTTTACCATACAGTCGCAGACTTGATGAGCTTTACTTATTTCCTCTTGAGTACAGACAGATCTGAGGAGATCTCATACAGACGAACCGGATTACGAGGACCCGGAAATGTGTATGTGTATATATTCGGAGGGTAAGAGGCAGAGCCCTTGATGACCCTATTTATGTACAGTGCTTTCACAGATTCCTACACAAAATAAAATTGCAGGCATTTACAATGTGATCGGATCACAGTAAAATCGTAATCATAAGGAAGTGCATCAGGCCACTGTAAGTTAGTGCGGAGGGATTGTATATGACAGTATTTTATAGAACTGGCTGTGAGTAGTCATTTTGTAAAGACCGGTTTCTGTCGAAAATTAGACGAGTAAGTTTTCCTTTAAGTGTGCCTTGCACATCGATGATTTCTTCGCCTTGGCCTCAACAATAAACCTGAGTGGACATTCTCTTAAACTTTGAGGGTCCCAATGCCACCTGGACGTTTGCAGATGCTCTTTTTTACAACGAGTCGTCGGTGCCTTTAACGGGCTTCCCGAAGGAATGATAGTAACGGATTCCACGTAGACATTTAAACAAAACCAGATGTATATTTACTTGAAAAATACCGCTTAACTGGACAAAACAGCTCTGTTATACCACACCAACGCCTTCCATACACATGCCGCTAATGAGAATGACTATTATCTCAGTTCACCATTGTCACCTACAAGTGAGTGTTCTCAAGCCCTGTCCCGCATACTTAAGGACGAAATTATGGAAAATGTGTATGTTACAGACGAAATTTTGTTAGCTTGCTTGCCTGACGTTAGTTATTACGTGCGGCGTCTTCAGTAGCGTTTTCCAAGGACATTACCTATTATCCATAAATATACTGACCTATACAACCGGTGGGAAACGCAGAGCTGGAAGGAGCTACAGAGGAGGGCCGTGGGAAGTGCCGACGTAGAGAAAGCGCGTTGCAATATGTTGTGGGTAGGGGGTCGGAGGTAGAAAGGGAAGGACGTTGGCTATTTTCACCGACAAGCAGCCACACCACCTCCATCGCAAATTCACTCAGGAAGTGTGCTCTTCACCCAAACAATTATTTACAATTCGTGGGATTACACTAGGTACCATATTATTTACATCCCAACGCTGAATCGCCAAATCTCTTAAGTAACGTGATATATTATGGTTATGCGTACTTATAGCCCTACCGGACAAAAGGTTGCTTAACAGGATTATAAACTAGGACGAGCGATCTCGGAAAAGAGGAATAAATTTAGACACGCTGAGTGAAATTACGTCAGTTAAATGTAGGCAGAAAAGGGACAGTCAAGTGGAAATTCTGAGGGAGCAAGAGATTGCGCAAATACCTAATAAAACCATAAGGAATCTTGAAGTAAAATACAGGGATCCACAGAAGAAATTGAAAAGAAGCACAGGCTGCGCGGTGCAAATATGAAAACTGGGGAATATCGAAAAAAGAAGAGACAGTGTAGTTATTTTCCGACAATTTTCAGCTAGTCGTCTGTCAGCCGGAGACCGGAAAAACGCGCACTTACTCACTTCGAACCTCTGCGCGATTGTCGATGACCATCTGCGTTTAACCTAAATAAACCGCGTTTAGTGTACATCCTAAGGATGTAATAGTCACCAATCAGAAACAAGGTGTTGAGTGCATGCAAAATATGTTGATTAAATCAGTAAACAGTACTCCACGAAACAACACGAACAAGGGCTTGCCGCAAAGCGGCATAATTACTTTCTTTGGTTGCCACTCGCTCGTCCTCGCAAGGACATAACTTCAATTTCGAGCGCTTGGGGGTCGTAAGCTTGTAGGGTGTCCGGGCTCTGCATCTACTAAGGAAGTACGCGACCTGGTCGGGAACACAATGAATAGACGCTTACCAGGCGTTGTGTGAACGAATCAGGGGCACGGTTCGACGGATTTAAGCACTTACCCCTAGTAGTCGCCCATACAATCTTCACAACTGTTGCTTGATTATACCTCCTCCAGCTTCCTTCATCTCTAAGCGCTCTCTTTTTTCGCTTCCAGATATACTTTCCTCTTGAATAACCTTTCAATAAATATAAGATCTTCAGATAATTTACACACCTTTAAGAGAAGGTTACGCCTTGATATGAATGCTGACTCGATTAACCTTTTATTTTCCTCATCCTTTCCGGAAAACTTTCTCTATGACACTGAGAAAGGGCCACCGGGAATTTAGGACGCCGCCATTAACTT